ATAAGCGATGAAGAAATTATTTGCATGCCATTTTTACATTTTTTGTGTGGTGTTTAGTAACCGTTACTTAATGATTGTTTGGAGATCGTGAGGTGCAGTCTGGTGTAACGTTGGTTTTAGAAAAACATGTTCTTTATCGTGCCAACGTTTTGATCTTTATTGACATCATCTTCAGGGCCTGGGATTTATAAACATTGTTTAAATTATACAGATACATGTAGGGCGTGAAAAAATTTGTACAATGCTAGAAATTTTAGACTCAATCAAAGTATTTGTACTCACTCAAAGTGTTTGTTTCTGTCAGACTGGAATGTTTACTCGACAGAAAACTAACACTTTGAGTGAGTACAAATACTTTGATTGAGTCTAAAATTACCAGCATTGCATAGATTCACTTTTTTCACATCCTACAAATATTTGTATAATTTAAACAATGTTTATAAAACACAGGTACTGAAGATGATCTTAATAAAGATCGAAACGTTGGGACGATAAAGAAAATATTTTTCTAAAGCCTACGTCAGATCAGTTCGCATCTCACGATCTCCAAATAATCATTTACATTTTTAAAACAAATATATAAATAATGAAATATACAGATATTTTAGCAAAGATCATTATCAACAAGCATTAAAACTTAACAACTAACTTTACGGATTGCATGATTAGACCTTTCAGCCTTTTATTGCGAGTTTTTATCATGCAAATGACAACCGAGCCGTGAGTGCCGGCATTTGGGGGTTTGGAGGCAGTCGAACTAATCTTAATTTAGACCATTAACCGCATAGAATACGAGGCTAATAATGTAAAAATTACCCAGGGTCGTGGGATAATGAAATCATCACTTCATCATCAGAGAAAAACGATCTTTATTAACTCCATGTTCGTCCCTCCTCATTTTACATGGTACATAACGTGCCGTTTACTTGAATAAGTAAGCAGTACGTAAGGGGTAGTTTCTATGTTTGAAAAATTATATTCCTATATTGGAACAGATTTGGTAAAAATATTTATTTTTTGGTTTGAATAAATCTCATAATAAAATTATTAACAATCTGAACAACTTTTGAGCTAATGTTACGTGTAATTACACAATTAAGTATAACTAAATTTTTAACTGATCACTTTTTAACAAACCGTTTTTAATAATGCAGTGGTTCTGATAAATTGTATTCAATAAAAAAATGATTTTTTGCATAACTAGTAAAAGCAATTAGCGTTTCATAAAAAATAATATGTTTACGCAATATAGTATCATATGAATGATTTCACAATAATGGTATGACAAATGGAATCGAATAAGAGTTTTATCATTTCTTGTGATATGTTCTATGGAGCTGAGAGATGTGTTTTATAAGAGTTTTGTCCCCCTTTAAATGTTCTGAAGACAGAAGCTTGTTGGGCGTTTCTTATTTATACGGTTTCCCTCCCACATACGTTTATTTGCTCAAAACTCGCCTCCTTCAAACCAAAAGGAACTCCACATAATTCCGTTTAATAAAAAGAAGAGAAAATTGGATTGAATAAACCGTCAGGGGCTTTATAACCGGGGCGAAATTGATAATAACTTCCTCGGGTGATATAAAAATGAATGAGTGACAATAAAACCGTTCGCAGAAACTAAAGTCGGATGTGTGAAAACAAAACGTTCAAACGGATAACTTGTACTAAGGGATCTAATTTTCAGGGGCCGAACTTTTTACTATGATTTCAAACTAAAAAAAAAAACTATGATTTCATTAATATAGGTTGTATGTATAAATATGTATCGTACCTTGCTTTTCAAAAAATCAATAATTAATTAATCTTTATGTAAGGTATTGGTTGAGAAAAAGTCAGTGTCACTAACGGGATTCGAACCCACGACCTTCGGCTAAACACGCCGCTCCTCTACCACTTGAGTTAGCGTGGCCTCGGTCCACTCGGATACTAACTTCCCCTCTCAATCCAACGTTTAGAATTTTCCTTCCTTTTTGCCATTTTTCAAATGTGTAATCTATTTGATTCTCGGCGACAAATGAAATGGCCACGGAGAGCTTGAATGAAGATATACTCAATTTAACTTATTAAATTCAATAGATTTCGCGGTCCGATTGACCAAATAACATCTTTCAATTAATTAATCTTTATGTAATATATTGAGATAAAAAAAGTCAGTGTCACGAGTGAGATTCGAACCCATGACCTTCGGCTAAATACTATCGATAGCTCAAGTGGTAGAGCAGCGACGTAGCCGAAGGTCGTGGGTTCGAATCCCGCTCGTGACTCTGACTATTTCATCTCAGCCAATACCTTACATAAAGATTAATTAACTGAAAGATGTTATTTGGCCAATCGGACCACGAAATCTAATGAAATTCAATAATTTTACGAAATAAAAATGTTAAAATTCGTATCAACAACCTAAAAAACTTATCAGAAAGACCACTAAAAAAGAAGTGAGTTGTAAATGTAATGTAAATGTAATAAATGTGCATGAGAAGATCAGCCTGAGGAATATTTCCATCATATTTTAGCTTACAACTGATCACTGGCCGACTTGAACTCGACTTGATTCCTCACTTATGAATTGTTAAACTACAACAAACATATTCACCGAATTAGAAAATCTATTTAAAAAATTTATAAGCGAATGATGATGATTGCAATGCTCAGTTGAATGGACCAAGAGAGATAGAGCTGATCGAACCAAATAATGAACTGAAATCTAATTGGGAAAACTGGTTCATTGAAAATTGTCGATTGCAACACAAAGAAAAGACAAAGTTTATGATTCTGAAAATATCTAATTCATGAAATGATCAATCAAATCAACTGATAAATCACATGGGGTAGTTGTAGATTCACATCTCGCGGGATGCTCATTGTCAATTTGTTGCATCTAAACTGGGCAAATAATTATTTATAGATAGAAGACTCATTTATAATATATCTGGAAGAGTTTCAATTAATGTTTATTTTTCTTATTGCCAATAGTATACTACTTATGCTTTATTGGTCTGGGGTTAGAGTCATGCTAAACTAATTTTCAAAAACAACGTAACGCTATGAAAATTTTAGGAAATTTAAAGTATATGGAATGCTTCAAAGAAACAGTTACTAAATTAAACATTTTGACTTTGTCCAGCTTATATATTTTACATTGTGTATTGTCCCAAATCAAGTGAGACTAAAAAAATTTAACTCTTTACATAACCAGTATAGAGAAACTATAATAAAATAGTTCCTGTGGGTGAACCTGAAAAGATGTAAAAACTTTAGTAAATATTGGGCTGTAAAATTTTTTTAATAATCTACCAGATGATGTCAAACTGTTACATTACAAAATGTAAGCTTAAGATAACAAATTTCATTCTTTTGTGATTTTCAGGAGTTTTTTTTTCATGTATTAATAGTGGGTAAAAAATGAATTAATTTGTACTATCCTTGAGGAACGTAATGACAAACTTGTATTTTGTTTCCTTAACACAATAACTTAATAAAACATCTGTATCTTCGTATGATATTTTAAGGGTCATCTCTAAATCAAAAATGGCTAAAAACAATGTGAGATCTATGTACATTTTATAACACAAGTTGACATTTTATTTAAAAGGCTAGGTTTTTTTCAGCTTGGGTACAAAGAGTATTTATTAGTACGAAAACACGTAAAGAGTACAAGAAAATCAGGGTTTTCCATTTATCCTTGGGAAAAAAAGACAAAGAAATACAGAAAATTTTAGAAGTAGGACAGCTTGGGGAATAATTTGTAAGATTTCGGTTATTCTTGAGTTCCGATCACACTGGTCATCAATCATATTTTTTCAGTCAAAAATCAGCACAATACAAAAAAGGCATACGAATCTAAAACTATGTAATGATCTATGTACATGAAGTGACACAACTTCACATTTTAAATTTGGGAGACCGACTTTATTTCAGCATGAGCCCACGGGGACAACTGAATTGCTTCTTAAGAGGCAATTAATGTACGCTTGTATTGTAAAGCAGAAGAATGTTTGGACTATCCATTTGAAAAAAGCTAGCAAATATCTATGATTCCGACAAATAGAGAAAGAGTGACAAAGGTCAGCTGAGTGGGTAACCTTTTGAAAGGTTTCGATTGCTCGTGATCACGAACAGTCATCGCCTGTACTTCAGTCATGGTTCTTCAGTAAAAAATTAGCAAAGTAAGAAAATTTGTTCAACCTACGACGAATGGATCGATGTATGTTTAGGACAAAACTTCACTGTTTACATTTGTGGGACCACCCTTATTCCCGCCTGTGCCCGGAAGGATAAAATCTTAATCGCTGTTTGAGACGAAATTTGGTTTGTTTTGAGAAGTACAGGTAAATTTTGAGCTATCCATTTCTCGATGGAATAAATATTTATTAATCAGACAAATAGACAAGATTAAAAAAGATAAAATTTTCAAGACTTGAGCACAAGGTCTGATTGGACAATCTCCCATAAGATTTCGATTAAACACAGCTTCATAGTTTTTATTTGTGGGACAAATGGTCCAGAAGGAAATTAACTCAATTGCTGCTTCAGATGAGGTTTAATTTTTTTCAGAAGTACAGTAAAATTTTGATCTATCTAGTTCTCTTTGAAAAAAATCTATGATGCGTATAGAAAAATTTGAGACAATCAATTTGGAGAATCATATGTATAATTTCGATGGTTCCTGATCACATTGGACTATCATTACTCAACACAGCAAAATTGATCATTTACTAAAACAATAAGGATGCGTTGCAAGCAATTCGTGACCCACTGGTTCTTCCCCAAATTTGTTACATAAAATATTGGAAAATAAAAAATATAAAAAAGGAACAAATATGCCTGTTTCACCATCTGGTAATTCATCGATTTTAACATGTGCTCATTTTTGTAATTTCATTGAACCGTTCGTGAACTGTTTGCAATATTGAAGCATTAGCATTTGTACTATTATCAATGAAAAATATTATGTATTTCTTCAACTATTATTTATTAATTTTGTTTGTGATATTTTGGTTTGTTTTGGGGACCATCACATTTATCATCAATCCTACCATTCGGGGTTTCGATTGTAAGAATATTAACATACATTATCCGATGAAGGAGTCAACGGTAGGCGTATTTTCCTTAATTATATTGGCAACTGTGTTCCCTATCTGTGTCATCGTTGCAGTTGAATTGATAAATTACCCGTGGAAGGATGAGCCGCCTGGTTTCAAGAGGATCATCGTCTTCAGAGTCTTATCCACTAGTGGACAATTACTCCTAGCCCACATGATTCTATTTACGATGGGAAATATTGTAAAAGGGACCTTGGGTGAACTCGGGCCATATTTCTTGGAAGCGTGCAGACCAAACGTCAATTGTTCGGATCCGGCGGTCTACAGTCATTTCATCAAAGATTACACATGTTCAGGTGACAAGAAAACAATTAACCAAGCTAGAAAGACTTTTCCTTCCGGGCACGCTTCCATCATAACGCTGTCAATGGTGTACATTTGCTTGTACGTAGAAGTTAAGTTAAAACTGAAGTGGTTTTTCCTCGGGAAAATCTTCACCCAATTCTTATTTATGTGCATCGCAGTGTTTGTCGGGATTAGCAGAGTCGTCGATTTTCAGCACCACTGGGTAGACATTTTTGTCGGTTTCTGGTTCGGCATGACTTATGGTGTCGGTACTGCTTATAACACGAAACTGTTTCTACGTCATCAAGACAAATCAAGCAAAGGTTCAGAATCAACGTATTCAATTGTTTCCTAAATAAACCTACACATGTTTGTACATGTAAATATCTATTTTATTACACATGCTACACATTTTAAATGTTGATTATTGTTCAGTAGCACGAAACGAAAGTTAGAACATTAGAAATTAATTGTATAATGTATTTATCCTAACAATAGTTACCCGTTGTCTTGGTTTGTTTATCCTCGATGATTTTGTCTCGTAGGAGCGATTCTGCATTTCACCATCTTCAGTGTTGATTCGACGATTTCCGTGGAGAGAAGTTTCGGTTACGAAGTCCTAATGGTGGGGTTTGTTCGTCAAGTTGTTTGATGGATTAAGTCTGTTTTGTTTTGGTTGTTGATTTATTGTTCCAGTCGGTCTTTGTGATCGTCAGTCATATTCCTTTTTAATTTCCGTAACGTCTTGCGTAAAGTACATAATTTAATGCAATATTGTTATGGTATGGTAAAATGGATAGTGAAGCGGGGTTTGCGCTCCCCAGGCACTGTAGTCTTTTGGCTTATTGTACCTTCCTAGTTCTTTAATTCAGTGCAATAGACTCTATCCTTCTCCCTCATTAGAAGTATCAGGTTATTGACTGTCGCTGCTGGGATTTAATTCCCTAACTTTTTTAGGGTTAAATCTCCATTGAGCTGTTGCTTCGCATTCGAAGATGAAATGGGTGGCTGTCTCCTCTCTTCATTACGTAATCTGTAAATGGGATCATCATTGCATATACCCATGTTGTGTAGATGTTTTCTCAGATGCCAGTGTCCTACCACTCCTCTGAGTTTGGCCCTCTCCAATTGCAGCAATGATTCTGCTAGTCTTGGTAAGGGTTTTGTAAAGTAATATTAATTACAATAATTAATATTGTAAGTTGTTTATAAAGTGTTAGAAGTATCGACCACTTTTACTAACGAATATCGTGGATCTTGGAATGGTCAAGTCAAGGGAAAGAGAAAATCGATTATCTTCTAACTTTCGACCAAATTTAAGTTCATCATCAGTGCTAACCTGATTCAGTAATGTTACAGCCATTGGCAATGTTGGGGTTGATTCTATGTTCAAAGAAATTTGTCACCGTTTTTCAAACACTTAATTATGCAAAACTGTAGACATCTTTGAGATTGTTTTGCCCTTTGATGATGCCCTTGACTCCCCATCTCAATCCACCTTTCGAATTTTCCCTCTTTTTTTGCCATTTTTCAAATATCATGTAATCAGGATTCGATTTTTGGCGCCAAATGAAACGACCAAGAGCTTTAGTGAAGATATACTACGTTTTTACTTATACTTCGTAGAGGTAAAAATGTTAGTGTTAGATGATGGGGTTTGGTCTGCGAGTTGGCGAACTCATGTTGAACCGGCACACGGGCACTACTGGGTCTGTCTTCACTCGCGGGTTTTTTGTTTGAGTTATTCAAACGCGTTTCGGCATTACGCCATCTTCAGTGAAAAACTGTCTGTCATTCCGTCTGAGTGGGGTTTATATAGTGTTGTGTCCGTCGCTTGTCGCTGGGGGCGTTGCGTTAGGGGGCGTGGTCTCCGTGCTCGTTGGTCGNGTTTGTATGCAGGGGCTGGTTTGTAGTTGACTACTGGTCTGATGGGAATATTAGGTTTGTGTATTTTTGGGAGTGAGGTAAGGATTGGTGGTTTATGTTGTCTCTTCATAAACCTCAAACAAACAAAATTCAACACCAATGAAACAAAACTATTACAAAAAGGACTGAAACGCAACGCCCCCAGCGACAAGCGACGGACACAACACTATATAAACTCCACTCAGACGGAATGACAGACAGTTTTTCACTGAAGATGGCGTAATGCCGAAACGCGTTTGAATTACTCAAACAAAAAACCCGCGAGTGAAGACAGACCCAGTAGTGCCCGTGTGCCGGTTCAACATGAAAAATGTTAGTGTCACGAGCGGGATTCGAACCCACGATCTTCGGCTAAATACGCCGCTGCTCTACCACTTTAACTATCGTGACTTCGATCCACTCGAATACTAACTTCCCACCTCAACCCAACCTTATATAAAGATTAATTGAAAGGTGCTATTTGGTCAATAGGACCACGAAATCTAATGAACTTATATAAAACTTTACTGCGAATACTTTGAATATACGCAAAGCAACTGTTGGATTCTTCCAAACCATCCATCAATTAGGGCATTCAATCCTTCGATTCAAGTATTCTAAAATGGAGATTCATACCGGACTTGTTTCCACTTGAGTGTGAAGTTCAGTCATATGATCAATTGTATTTTATAGACTTTTTCCAAACTGTGGATGAGCGTTCAGGAAGCATAGAAAAGTAACAATTACACCGGGAAATTTTGACAGCCCTGCATTTGGGCTGAAACGATACAACACGAAAATTTTAACTTGAACTTCCGGTTTGTTGATTATGTGCCGGTGGGTGTGTGTTTTATCGTATCGACAAAGCGTCCAAATTTTATTTCTATTTTAAGCTCTCATTGTGGTGGATTAGGATGTGTAGATTTAACAAACTTACAACAGAAGAAATAAGTGGAGTTTTCCAAACTTCAGAAGGTGACCAATCGACATATCGTTGAGCACTATAGTCAAACCCTCCAAAGTTAATTTCTGTTTTAAGCCCTCATTGTGATTCTATTTGTACCCACTGATCTGAGCCTGTGGTGTGCCAGGATGGTACTCAAAAACGACCCATAACGGTCGTAAAACAAAATCGCCGTGAAAGACTAACAATGTTACAGTTTATCTGTTATCGTTCCCCCCTTGCCCACTTCACCACTCCTTAGCAACCTGGATATCTCCGGTTCCCGAGAAACAACCATGTTGATGATCAGCTTAATGCGGACGCCTGGTCAACGTAGACACACCCAACAGTGGTTCCCGTACTCAAACCATCCTCGATACCCGACCTCCAAGTAGCTTGATTACAGGAGCACGCCCCTACTCTCAGTCCCTGTTATCGTTCCATGGTTCCGAATATAGTATGAGGCTATTGCCTCAACAGACCACTAGTTATTAACCAATCTGAATTTAGAAATTTTATCACACCCGCCATATTTCCGGATAAATCACCTTGTGACAAAAGTTGTATAATGGCCAAATCTTTAAAAAATTCCAACAGTTGTTTAAACGTTCCTGAGTTGAAAAGATGAGATTTTTGCGAAAGGAATATACATGCTACATGAAAGACTGCAAAAAGTAATTTCAATCAATGGCCAATAGTTCAATATAGGCAATAGCGGACGAGGCGGCAAAGGCCGGGACGTCCAACCCTCCAGACCGGACCATCGCGACCAGGCCCTCTGACGCTAAGCGAGCAGTAAAGACCATGATAAAAGAAAGATGGCAGCGCCAGTGGGCCGGATCGTCCGAGAGGCTTTTGCGCGTCAAGAGCACGATTCGTAGATGGCCCCCCGAGAACCTGAGCCGGAAACAAGGAATCGTCCTAACGCGATTAAGAATAGGCCATACACGGTTGACACACGGCCACCTGCTCTTGGGCCAAAGCCCGCGCAGGTGTCCCTTATGCAGAGAAAGGTTGCTCGATGTGTCCCACATACTGGAAACATGCCATGCCTTGGCTCCCTACAGGGAGCGCGTAGGCATGCCATCCAATCTGAAGAAGGTGCTCGAGCACTGCAGCGGGTTTCAGGGTCCCCTGTTCCGATTTTTACGGGAAATTGGGGTTTTTTATTGTATATAGTATGTCTCATGTGTTGTGTGTCTATATGTTTGTCTGAGTGCATGTATTTATTAGCGTGAATGGCGAGGGGTGAGGGTGAAATATAACATCATCATCGCCCCTCGAACAATGAGAGCGTATGAGTTTGTGTTCGGGGTCGATGGCGGAATATTTATAAAAGTACTCCATCGACCCCAATCTAGTTTAGTTCGAGTATAGGTCGGTGGAGGAATATCAAGTACTCCACCGACCAAACGGAATGTGTGTATTGTATGGATGTATTTATGTGTATGAATGTATTTATCTGTATGAATGTAGTGTTTGTAAATAGAAGTGTAAATAGAATATTGACTTGACTTAGCTTTGGGGCTGAAATGACCCAGATGTCGGAAGCCCCCCCCCCCAAAAAAAAAGCAATATGTCAGGTATAAAAAAATAAAAATATATACAGTAAAAATTCATTATTTTTTGCCAACCTTATAATATAAAAGTGCATATAAAACAGTATAAAAAATTATTGAGTTAATTATTATCAAATGTAAGCACAACTTGCTTTATACAACCTTCCTTAAATAATTATAATGTGTAGTTTTATTTCCTTATAGGGAGAAGTTAAAAATTTATGTTGAGGAAGGATAGAGTTTTGCATATCGAAAAGATCAAAAAGAAATTTTTAGGATGTAAACAAATGATAAATAACATAGTACGTAAGGTGAAGCAATTTTCTCTCTTAAAAATTTAAAATTAAGTTGAGAAACGTGTTCCAAAAAATTTGAACGGATTAATGACTTGACGGTGTCATCTAAGAGAGATAACATCACATTTGAATGAATAAATATGTGTAAAGAGAACTAATTGTTCATTAATTGGACGTTTTAATTAATGAGTGTTTTTCGTGGGAATGATGATTCTATAGATAATGCGGCCAATTCATTATAACTTGATGATGTATAACTTTATATTTTCGTATCATCCGGTAGAACAATAAAAAATAGCGTACCGCTTAATTTCCGCTGTCCAAAAAAAAAATCTCGTTAGTGAAAAATTTGATCTTTGTTAGAAAATAATCCGTCTTTAGCTTTATCGAGTCGAATTATTTAACAGGACCGTTTTATTAAATAAAAAGGCCGCAACGCTGTTAAACGGGAAATTAGATTTTCTTAATCCGGCGGACACCTTCGCCCTCTCTGACTTAAAAAGGACTTGTTGAACGGAGGGCGTATTATTCTCCGGATCGAAGTCGAGAGGGAAATAACTCAATGTTTCCTTCCTGATGGAATAGGCGGGATTAGCATAAGTTTATGACGGAGCCATAAATTGATTAAGAGTATCTGCGCCGAGCTTCCTTTCGGGACTAACCGGTGAATTAATC